AAAAAAAAAAAAAAAAGATGTTCAGGCCCTTTTTGGTAGCTCAACAGGTTAGAGCACAGCACTATGAAGTTACTGCAGCCACTGCAGCATGAGTTCAATCCCTGACCAGGGGTGTGACCCACATGGCTAGCAGATGTCTCCTGACCCACCCACTGCTCCCCTTAGCAGTGTCTTTCAGTGTGAAGATTGTTCTGCTTCCCACTCCACCTATGGTGGATCCTCTCACCCCCTCACCTCTCACCTGTTCCCTAGTTCGGTATGTATAAATAATCTTTAAAAAAAAAGATGTTTAACATTATTGTATTAGAGAAATTCAAAATAAAACGATAATATTTCACACCTATTAGAATGTTTATCATTTAAAAAACTGACCATAACAAAAAAAAATGTGCAAAATGATGTAAAAATAAACTTTGTAATAAATAAAAAAAAAACACTGACCATAACAAATGTTGGCAAGAATGTAAAACTATTTTAGGAAACGGTTTCCATATTTGTTATCAAGTTAAACATGAACCTATCTATTATTTAACCAATCTACACCCACTTATTTACCCAAGAAAAATGAAAATATAGGTCCATCTATAGACATATGTGAATATGCATAGCAGCTTTACTTATAATAGCTCAAACCTGAAAATAGTTCATATGTCAATATATGGTTGAGATCCCCAAATGTAGAGATAAACTGTGGTACAGTCATACATTGTAATACTCATCATTAATAAAAATGAATAAATTGACACACAACATGATGAAAAATATATCTAAATAAGTGTGCTATTTCATAATAATAAAAAGTAGATTAGTAATTGCAAGAGCAGTAGGGATCTGGAGGAGAGGGAAAATTATTAAATTGTACACTTTCAAATGCTTACTGTATGTCACGCCTAAATAAAGCTACTGAAAATATGTTTCAATGCAGTTTTTTTAAATTATTTATTTATGCACATAGAGCTTAGTTACAGGTCAGAGGTGCAGGGGCTGTGAGAGGATTCAGCAGAGACAGAGTGGGAAGCAGAACAGGCAGATCTACTGAAATACACTGCTGAGGGGAGCAGCAGGTGAGAGAGTAGAGATCTGCCATGCCAAGTGGGTCACCTCCCTGGCCAGGTATCGAACTCACACTGAAGCAACTAAAGCTAGCTTTGCAGTGCTGTACTTTAGCCTGTTGCACCACCAGGCAGGGCGCTCAGTGCAGTTTTTTATATGTTACTCATTAAAAAAAAGTTCTAAGGGCCCTCCCTGGTGGTGCAGGGGTTAAAGCACTGCATTAAGAAGCTTAAGCCAATTCCGCATGAGTTCGATACCCGCCTACCCCAGAGGAGATCCACATGGCGTGGCAGACCTCTCCTGACCCACCCGCTGCTCCCCTCAGCAGTGTACTTCGTCGATCTGCCTGTTCTGCTCCCCACTCTGCTCCTGTGAATCCTCTCCCCCTCCGCATCTCTGGCCTATACCCCAGTTCTGTATGAATGAATAAATAAATCTTTAAAAAAAATGTTCTAGGAACCCAGATTCACTCCTGGGTTAATACTTACTGCGTATGTATTAGTCCAATGTTTTACCACTTCTTGGGATCGGAAATGCATTTCTTTCTTTGCCTTTCTTTCTGCACGAAGGTATGCTGCTTCTCTTGTCAAACTGTCAAGGCTATCTTTAATTCTTTTCCACTCATCTTGTGGAAGTATGGCAACCTGCCGGAGGTCTATTTTGCTAGGCAGAAGAGGTGGATAGCGAACTTGATCTTCAGAATTCTTTATTCCTAATAAAATTTTTAAGAAGAATTCAAGTGATACTTTTCCTCAGGTGTTTCTGTACTGGCAGATGTTTGGAAATGTATTTCAAATTTATGCAGTAAGGAAATGACCAAGCAAGGACTCAAATCTATGTCTTCTTGTTTCAGGGAATATTCTTTCTACATAATCTCTGCTGTTCTTAAGATACCAAAATAAGCAAGCTCAAATATGCTATTGAGTCCCTCTAGTGATTTTTTTTTCAATTATCATGCTTTTCAATTCCAAAATTTCTATTTGGATCCTTTTGAAAATTTTTGTCACTTTACTTATATGCTCTTTTTGGTGAGTCAGCATACTTAATACTTTCATTTATTGGCATTTATTTTTCACTCTTCAAACATATTTACAATAACTGTAAATTTATAAAAGTAAATTATTTCCATAAGCCTAAATTCTGAGTTTTTGTAGGGACAGTTTCTACAGGACTTTCCCCCTATATTTGGACCATACTATTTTTTTAAAGACACATTCATTCAGCATCATAAGCAGACTATTTAACAATCAACTGCATGGGTGAAAAAAAAATCTACATTACAGTCTTTTGTTGGAATACTTTACACTTTGCACAAAACAGAAACTAAAATAACCTGCTATACAAGTTACAAATACAGCCCATACACATAAAGACAGTCCAAATTGCCAAGATACTAGTTCTCACCATGACAACATCAGATGGATATTTACAAACTTAAACTAAAATAACTGGAATTAACAAAATGCTCTTTAGATGTCCCACTAGGTTACTTCTAGTCCAAATCAAAATTTAAATAACAGGTCATCGAAGGTATTTTGTATACTTTGGTACAGCTTTTACGAAAGGTAGAGACCGTAGCTTCACTATTATAGATGAGGAGATTCAGACTCTCATTCAGAGACTTTCCTAAAACATCTAGGCTCACAGGCTGAGTTCACCGGTATTTCCAAAAGATATTCTAATTCATTCACCGAATACAAAATCAGACTCAACAGCATAGTTTGGGAATCTGACATGCTGGTTGTTAATTTGGTTTTTGACTTCTTCACCCTGGCTGCTGTAAACTTTCCTCACTCAACCCCACTTCCCACCAGTGAACTTATTGTAAACAACGTGGGAACTTCACCTCCTTGATCTAGGCAAGAAAGCAAAATCATTTGCATAGGTTTATGCCGAACTACATCTGTCCTATTCTGTGAAGCAGCCATGTAAGAACCTGTCACTGGCAGGTAGACCAAACTTTCAGCCTCTACTGACTCCAAGGACTTAGCTGAAGATTTTAACAATGGGTACCTAGCCCATATGTCTCCACAATGCATTCTTTTGAGTCAGGAAAATTATTATACACCAGTATTCACCCTCTTCACACAGAAAACAGGTTGGATAACTTGGAAAACGGAAAGATGTAAGCCTTCAGATGAAAACAAAAAAAAAAACCTATCAAGAATAATTGCATTTTTAAAATCAGTAAATCCCTTGCCTTTGCCTTTTCTATAGGTATGCTACTCTATAACCAGGTATATAAATACCAATGTGTGATTGTCAAAGTAATTTTCACAATCAAATTTGTCAGTTTCTAAGATTCACATCCTCACTTTGTCTTATAAACTCTTTAACCATCATTGAGAGTTTCATTTAAAGTTATCACACCGATTCACCTGAGCGCAAAACCACACAGAGCCCACGGAGGAGGGTTAGTTTCCACTCGGAGCCCATTTCAAGAATTTCAAGGCAACCAAAGCCCTTACTTGCAATTCTCTCCTCTTAACACAATGCGTGGAAGACAGAACCCTATTGCTTTTATTGTTTAAACTAGGATGGGCCAGTTTAGCTCACCCGGGCTTTCCTTCGCCTGTCCTCGGCGTCGACCGAACCGCACCATCACCTCTGATGAGATGCCCATAGCGGTCTCAGACTTGGAAAAGCAATTCCAACTCCAAGAGCCTGACTCCTACCAGTCGAATGTTTGCCAAACCGCGAGGTTGCTTGGTAACGCTGCGGAAGTGACGCAGGCCGTCGCTGAGGACTAAAACGCGCCGCAGCCGGCCTAGGCTTTGAAGAAGTACTGCGCCTGCGTGAAACCCGAGGCCTAGCGCGGGCGTAGGGCGGTCCTGCGAGAGAGCGCGGGGTCGACACCCGAGACCTGAGGCGCGCACGCCTGCGACGCTGCCGGCCCAGCAACGGCTACCTCTGCCCAGCCTAGGTCAGTGAGCAGCCCTCCGGCCCCGGCCTGGCCTGACGCGCCCATCCTCAACCAACGCAAGTCTCAAGCCCGACGACTCCAAACTTAGTTCCGGCGCCTACTTTTGGGACCCATCCGGCAGGTGTGCGGGCGGCCCAGGCTTGGTATGTGTGGCTCAGGCTTAGAGTGTGTGGCCCGCCGCTCTCTTGGCGGGTGGCAGGTGTAGAGCGCTCCCCTCCTTAACTGTAGAAACCCAGGGCGTGACAGAAAATGTTTTGAAGTACTCTGGGTTCTAAGGCACGAGGCTCAGTGAGGCTTACGTTTTTTAAATGAAACTGTTAATACTTGGGTGTGGTCCTGAAATATTCACTCTAAGATCTTTAATGGATTTAAATTTTCCTGGTAGATAACAGTAAATTGAATGTGTTTGGGGGCCGGTGATACGAAATACAAAAGTCTGTTAAGAGTGAATGAGGGCCCTCTCTGGTGGCATAACCTGTTAAGCAGCCGCCACTGCAACATGAGTTCGGTTCCCAGCCAGGGAGCTGACCCACGTGGCGTGACAGACCTCTACTCTCTTCACCCACTGCTCCCCTCAGGTGTGTGTTTCAGTCAGTCAGCCTGTTCTGTTCCCTACTCTATCTGCTGAATCCTCTCACCCCCTACAACTCTGGCTTATACCCCAGTTCTTGTATGCATAAATAAATAAATATTTTTTTTTAAAATGAATGAGGGCTTGATTTAAAAATATCCTTTTCTAATACATCCACACACAACTGGTTTTATTACAAGCTACTTGGCTCCTATGCATACACATTAGCCACCAAATTGCAGTCACTTAGAATGAAAAGAGCTAAGATTTTAAATTACTGAGCTTCTAATACGTACTTGTTTTGCTTTAGGTTTTCTATGAGATGATCTACTTTAATACTGCTGGTAAGTGTGAAAGGATCAATAAAATAATTGTTGACACAAACTAATTTTGCACATACAACATGTGGGGTTTTTTGGAGTTTTTGCCTCCAAAATTCATCATTTTGACAGAGTGGTCAAATTACATTTGACTTCCAATATCTGGTTCTAACCCTAACCCATGGATTTTTACAAGTCATGTAGAACTAGTTGGTTATCTCACTATAACCCCCACTCCTGTTTGTTTTTTTTTTTAGTCCTATGAATTTAAGAAGGTAGCATATACACTTTGATCTGAACAGTTTAAATTATTCTGAGGTGACATTTATATTGTATAAAGAGAACATGAATAATTTATTACAATTGAACCATTCACAATCCTACCACTGTATACATGGACATTTATTTTTTTTAAACCATGACAGGATTATACTGTACACACATTATTTTTTTTTTTGCAAAGCTGTTTTTTTAGAAAAAAAAATTTTATAATACTATAGGTTCTTTTTACATAATTTTGTGTCATTTTCCATATCATTTGTAATCCCCATGGGCTTCCCATCACCAAATCACCATTGTGCCATCACCATAGTCCAGTGTACTTCCCCCTCCCCCCCATTTTTTTTTATCTCAATTCCCACTCTACCCCCATAAAATGTCTGTGGTATAAAGTTGTTCATTATCATTTTTTTTTTCCCCCTGGTCCTTTATACTCCTGCTATGAGTGAAACCATCTGGTATTTTTCCTTTTCTTCCTGGCTTATTTCACTAAGCATGATTTCTTCCAGGTCTATCCATGTTGCTGCAAAAGGCAATGGTTTTATCTTTTTTGATTGCTGAGTAATATTCCATGTGTATATGTACCACATCTTTTTAATCCAGTCACCTATCTTTGGCCATTTGGGTTGACTACATGTCTTTTGATTGTAAATAAAGCAGCAATAAATGTGGGGATGCAGGTGTCTTTTTGAAACAGTGTTTTTGTGTCTTTTGGGTAGATACCTAGGAGTGGGATTGCTGGGTCATAGGGAAGCTCCGTTTTTAACAGTTTGAGAAACCTCCACACGGTTTTCTGTAGTGGTTGTACTAGTTTGCATTCACACCAGCAGTTAAGGAGAGTTCCAATTTTTGTTGTTGCTAGTTGTTTTAAGATGTGCCATTCTCACTGGTGTGAGGTGGTAGCTCATTGTGGTTTTAATTTGCATC